CGCAAATCAATCATCCGAACCAGCTATGTGAAGGTTGTATGAAGGGCAAGCAACATAGAAGAAGTTTTGAAGTTGGAAAGTCAATAAGAGCAACAGAGCTGCCAATTGATTCACACAGATATTGCAGGACCATTTGAAGTCGTCTCTCTTGGAGGAAATAGGTACTTTCTCACATTTATTGATGATTATAGCAGAAAAACTTGGGTTTATTTCCTGAAGGAGAAATCCGAAGCTCTGGAGAAATTCAAAGAATTCAAGGAGATAGTAGAAAAGCAAAGTGGGTACCACATCAAAGTGCTCCGATCAGATCGAGGTGGAGAATACACTTCGAAGGCATTCAACAATTTCAACAAGCAGTACGGGATAATTCATCAACTCACTGCCGCCTACACACCACAGTAGAATGGCATAGCAGAGCGGAAGAATCGTACCATTCTTGATATGGTCAGAAGCATGTTGAAGAGCAAGTACCTGCCAAAGACTTACTAGGCTAAAGCCGTGGACTGTGCAGTTTACCTCCTCAACCGATGTCCGACAAAGAGCATCAAGTTTAAGACACCATTGGAGATGTGAAGCAACATTAAGCCAAGTGTTAACCACCTGAAGGTGTTTAGGTGTATTGCATATGCACACATCCCGGAGCAGAAAAGAAAGAAGTTGGACGATCGAGGAGAAAAGTGCATATTCGTTGGGTACAAGAGGAGGACAAAAGCATACAAGCTCTACAATCCAGTTACAAAGAAGATGATCATTTCAAGAGACATGGAGTTCGATGAAGAAGATTATTGGAAATGGACCGATGAAGACAAAAACATTAAAGGTATGTTCTTTGAAGATAATGATGATGACTTGCAGGAGGTTGGAAGACCATAACAAAGTCCACCAAATAGTCTAGCTCCATCAATCTCAACATCGATGCCGACATCATCACCATCCAACTCAAGTGAAGGAAGCTCTTTAGGGGGAGCAACAAGGAGGACGAGAAGTCTAAGAGATCTGTACGACGATACAGAACCAGTCGAGATGATGGATGACTACACACTATTCTGCTTGTTTGTAGAATGTGATCCGGTCAGCTATGAAGAAGCTGCTCAAGAAGACAAGTGGAGAAAAGCCATGGATGATGAGATTGAGGCAATCAAGAGAAATGACACATGAGAGCTCACCACCTTACCTGAAGGCCATAAACCCATTGGAGTAAAGTGGGTGTACAAGACAAAAGACAAATCAAGGCGGCGGAATCGAGAAGTACAAGGCTAGGCTTGTTGCAAAGGGCTATAATCAGCGAGAAGGAGTTGACTATGAAGAAGTGTTCGCACCAGTCACGAGGATCGACACCATTCGACTCATTGAGTTGACTATGAAGAAGTGTTCGCACCAGTCACGAGGATCGACACCATTCGACTCATTATCGCATTGGCAGCACAAAACCGGTGGAAGATCTATCAGATGGACGTGAAGTCAGCCTTTCTTAATGGCTATCTAGAAGAAGAAGTCTACATCGAGCAACCACCTGGGTATGTGATGAAAAATCAAGAAGACAAGGTCTACAAGCTGAAGAAGGCATTGTATGGACTGAAGCAAGCACCCAGAGCATGGAATGCTAGAATCGATGCATACTTCCAGAAGAACGGATTCCAGCAGAGTCCGTATGAGCACTCTCTATACCAAGAAGAAGGATGGAGACATTATGATAATATGTCTCTATGTGGACGACATGATCTTCACCGGTAACAATCCAAAAATGTTCGAGGAGTTTAAGAAGAACATGATCAAGGAGTTCAAGATGACTGATTGGAGAAATGTCATACTTTATTGGAGTAGAAGTGTCGCAATCTGAGAGAGGAATCTTCATCTCTCAGAAAAAGTACGCAAAGGAGATCATTTGGAAGTTCAACATGAACAACTGCAAACCAGTTGTAACTCCTGTCGAAGTTGGAGTGAAGATGAGGAGAGACTCACCAGGAATCTCTATTGATCCAACTTTGTATAAGAGCTTAGTCGGAAGCCTATGGTATCTGACCATCACAAGACCCGACATAATGTTTGCAGTTGGACTGGTGAGCAGATTCATGGAGGAGCCAAGGCAAGAACACTTCAAGGTGGCCAAGAGGATTCTCAAGTATGTTCAAGGAAGCATTAATGAAGGATTATTTTACTCACAAAATGTAGATCCAAGACTAGTCGGTTACACCGACAGTGACAATGGGGGAGACTTGGATGAAAGAAAGAGTACATCCGGCTACATGTTCAGCATTGGATCAGCAGCCTTTTCTTGGTCATCAAAGAAGCAGTCAGTTGTTGCTCTATCAAGTTACGAAGCGGAATACATTGTTGCATCTGCAGGTGCATGTCAAGCGATATGGCTTAGAAATTTAATGAAGGAGTTGCAACACCAACAAGAAGCACCGACAGAGATTCTCATCGACAACAAATCAGCTATTGCACTTGCTAAAAATCCGGTAGCACATGGACGAAGCAAACACATAGAGACAAGATATCATTTCATCCGACATCAAGTTAAAAGGAAGACCGTGATGCTGACATATTGTAAGTCTGAAGACCAAATCGCTGACATCTTCACCAAGCCACTAAAGACAGAAACATTTTTGAAGCTTAAGAAGAAGCTTGGACTTGTGAGAAATGAAAGTTGGTGATGAGGGGGAGTATTAGAATTCCTCACCAACTTAGATTATTCTAGAACAACTTTCTAGAACTTCTTTCTAGTAACATCCTACAAAATATCTACCAAGAAGTTTCTAGGAAGATACGAGTGTATGGTTAGTATTTATTCTTATAGAAACTTCTTACTAATGTAAGGCTAGGATTAACTCTTCTACACACTTCCTAGCCCTCTTAAACAACTATAAATAGGGGTCTTGGGCTCCTATTTGTGCAAGCAAGCAAGAAGTAAACTTGAAAGCTTGAGTGTGTAGTGTAGGCTTATGTGAGTGTTCACCAAAATAAAAAGTTATGTGAAAGTGAGGTGCTCTTGTAAGAGCAAGTATTATACTCCCTAGTGTTCTATCAATAAAAGTTTCCTTTGTGTAGAGGGTTGTGTTCTTCAAATTCCATCAGGGCCCTTACTAGGGAAGTTGCGGAAGTTGGACTTGAGGATGCGCTCGGCATTGACGTGGTCGGCGGTGAAGGTGCATGTTGCGCATGTTGCCAGGGCGGCAGAGGGCGAATATTTTGGTGGGGCCGGCGCCGAGGATTTCGGTCATCCAGTCATTGAAGCGGTGGCGGTTGTTGATGTATTGGGGGAGGTGGCCGAGGACGGGGTAAGGTGTAGTGTTAATGTTGAATTTTTTTGGGCTGTTTTTGTTGTTGATGGTGGTATTTTTTGAGAGGAGGTAGAGGGAGAGTAGGAAGGAGAGGGAGATGAAGAGGAAGAAGGAACTATGCCCTCCAAAATTCACCCTCCAAATTAGAATATTCTAGAAATATTCTAATTTAGAGTGGAATTTCGAGAGCTGCTTTAACCCACACTCTCCAAATGTTTTCCTTTTTATTTTTTATCAAAAAATTCATATAAATTAATAATGTTGGATATAGTTTACATTAATAATTTTATTTTAAATAATTTATTTAGAAAAAAATTATAACATTATAAAGGTGTCGATGAGAGCTTTAAAATGAACCTAATATTAATAATATAATACAACATATTAAAAAAAATATGAAATAACAGTGACAAAGCATACATCGATAGAACAAGAAAGCAAATATGAACCTCTAATACAACATACCATAGGTCACAAACATAAACCTCAAACATAAAATATGATAACAGACAATTAATAATTTATTTAAAAATTAATAATGTTATAATAATACTAAAATAAATTAATCTTAGTTTCATTTTAAAGATCTCAACGAGACCTTTTCAAATATATAATGATTTCAAATATTAGATTAATAATTTTCTAACTATATTTATTTGAAGTTAAACATCTAATTTAAATTACTAAGAATGATGGCAAATGAGTAATTTTTAAGAAATTAAATAGTTAAAAGTGGTAAAGTTGTAATTAATAAAACATGAAGAGACTCTCCAAATTTTCTCTTCACCCTCCAAATTTAGAGAGTGGTTGAAGAGTTTCCATTGCCATTTTAGAGGCCCGTTGGAGATGGCCCGAGAACGCTCCATTCCTGTGAGTTGAGCGACAGGGATAGTGCTTAATTAAGGACAAATTTTCAAAATCATCCGGTTTTGAAATTTATTCCCAAAAAAAGACCCTTTTCAACTTTAATTACAAAAATAGACCCAGTTGGATGAAAGTGGGTCTGTTTTTGAAAAAAAAAATTCAAACTTCACGGGAGTTGAACTCCCGTGAAGTTTTTTCTCATAACAAAACTTCACGGGAGTTCAACTCCCGTGAAGTTTAAAATTTTTTTTTTCAAAAACAGACCCAGTTTCATCCAACTGGGTCTGTTTTTGTAATTAAAGTTGAAATAGGCCGTTTTTTATAAATAAATTTTAAAAAGGGATGGTTTTAAAAATTTGTCCGCTTAATTAATTGTATCTAGTCTTTTTTTTATGGTATTAAACAGTTGGTTTTGGAGGATGCTACTAGTCCTTGTCATGGATGATGTCAGTCAAGAAAAGTCCAACAAATTTGGATCTTCAAAAAGTCTATACTCCTAATTTATTTCTTAGGACTGGTTAATTTACCTGCAAGATACATAAGAAATTCATTTCCAGGAAAAAAGAAAAGAAAAACCTTTTCCATAGATTTACCTTGGTTTATTGAAAAGTAATTTATTGTTTATTTTATCATAAAATCACAGAAGAAATCTTTAGTTTGGATGGAACGGCTAGAACAAGAAACCAATGTTTTTAAAAAAAAGGAGAAAGAATTATTTGTGTAGCGTAGTAGAAAGTAATTCCATTAACTAGTATTTATAGAAAATTCTCCCAAATACAACTATTTGTGTGCAAAAGATTAATTAAAAGAGAGCAAGGATGAAAATCCTTATATACATTTTCACAAAAAATTAAAAAATTACCAAGATGACTTGCATTCTTTCTTTTCACAACGATGAACAACATATATGCAAAACAATGGCGATAGTGGAGACGAAGGGGTAAATAAATTACAGTATATACTCAAATCACTCAAATCACGCAAGTAGAGCACACTAAAGTAGAGAACTAAGTTTTTGATTAATACATATACCAATACAGTTATACACAACCTGCCTCAGCTCATCTGTTGCTTTTGAAGAAGTTTAGACGCCAACGGTGTGCCAAACCTTCGATGGCATGGCTTGATGGGCTCTTTTGTGTGATCAATTTGGCTGGTGTCTCATCACTTCTATCTGCATCCTGCTGCAATGATCCGCTTCCATATTCTGAGCTCCGAGCACAACCAGAAAAGCTTCTGCTATTTGAAGAACCTTTCATGTCTGATGACTTGTCAGTATCACAAGGTTTGATCGTGATGGGTACTGGAACCCCGGTTGATTCCATGTTGGAGTTTGTTGAGATGGTATCACTTGTTCCATTAAATTCTCTTATTGAAGTTTGCATACAATTTGATGATGGATCATTTGGAGTTGTATCTACATTGGACTGCATGTTTTCTTCAGGATGTCTCAGCTCCATGTCTTTCAAGGATTCTATAATGGCTTCCATAATCATCTGCATCCAAAGGGAATTAAAGTCACCACCTTTCCCATCTACATGGCTTCTGTTCTGTCCAAATGAAGTTAGGTTGCATAGGCAAAATTCCACAAAACAAGAAAGCTCACTGAAGGATCTCAACTGATGGTAATAGTCTTATGAATTGGCAACAAATCTCTCCGTGAAAGAGCACATTCACAGTGATTACAAAAGCTTATGTTATGTGCATGGGAGAGGAAAAGCAATCCTAAAATATTGTAAATTACTTCATGTCCACTCTACCAAGAAGCAAGCATCAAAACCTGTGCAACATCCAGATAAGGGGAAATGACAAGATTACAGAACCCTGGAAACCAGAGCAAAAGAGAGATGTGGTTTCCTTTGTTAAGAAGAAATGTCTACTGGTTTGTCTAATGAGCAACAATAATTTATCAAATCTGTTTATAATGAAAATTTAAGGCTCTTAGGGCCTGTTTGTTTCACAAATTTTATGGAATAGGAATGATATTTGGGCCTGACAGTGGCATTTTCGTAATTAAAGGATTCCAAATAAATCCTAATCTTGAGTTTGGCTCAAAAAAAATTTATGGATTTGCTAATCTATAAAGTGGCCAAAACAGTGTATATTTCAGGAATCCCAAATCCTCTCCGTTTGAGAGGAATTGGGCCAAAATTCTGACAATGCTCCGCTGGCTTCTTATTCCGATTGCTAATCTTCGAAACCTTAGTTTTGATTGAACCATGGTTTCCCCGCTGTTCTTCTCCCGCCTCAGCTCTCTCTTCTTCGCGCCTCTTCTTCGCTTCTCTTCTCCCGCTGCTCGTCGATTTTTTTGCGTGGTCGAGGCTGGTACTCGAGTCGACGGCGCGGGTGGCGGAATCGGTCCTCTCTCTCTCAGCTTCCCCTCTTATTTCATCTGAGATCGCTCCTCTCTCTCTCAGCTTTTGGGTTCAGTTTGATATCTGCTACTTCTGTTCAGAGGAAAGCAATTTCTGGGTATTTAAGGTTGAATGGATTCAGGTAATGGACTGAAATTTTCTCACGATTTCCTCACTCAAAATCTGTTTTTTTTTCATGCTGGTTTTCTTTTTTCTGCTTGATTTCATAGGATTTCGTTATGGGTCAGGAAATTTTAGGATCTTGATTAGAAATATTGAGCTTGTGTTGATGTGTATGGAAGAAATCATGAGTAGAATTGGTGGGAAGGGATTTGAATTATGATTAGGCTTTGTAATGTTTGAATTATATCATAGTTCAGTTGGGTGTGAAATTAGACCAATTTTAGACATTTTAGTGGCTGATTATGTCCACAAACTGAGTTTATTTGGATTGTGCTTGATTGTTTCTGTGTGAAGCTTGGGCAAGTTTGAGAAATTACAATTTCTTCTCAAAAAAAAGTTATAATCTTGGGCACATACTTATGTATATATTTTATTGGATACTTCTTAGATTACATTTTCTGTGAAAGCTATAAGGAAACCAGATAACTGATTGCTATGCTTCTGGGTATTTTGCTTGGAAATCTCCAAATCATGTTCTTATTTCTCTGTGATTTGGTTAACTATGATTCATTGGGTTGTCTTACCATTTGTTACAGAGTGTAACTATGATTCATTGGGTTGTCTTACCATTTGGTTAACTGATTGCTATACTTTTACACTATTTTGTAATTGACTTTGTTAATTTTTGATCAAATCTCCGGCCAATGGTTAAAATACTTGCCAGTGCAAAGGTGTCTAACTTTCATTACTATTTTATTATCGACATCTTATTACTTTATGAAATGAGCACAATACTTGGTAGACGCAAACAAAGTGTAGCTTTACATATCTGCTGCACTTCTGAATGTACTTCCTATCAGAAGATTTGTTTATGTTTTTCTTTAGTATAGGATTGTATATTGCATTGCTGCAATCAACATAATATGCAGCTGATAAAAGATGCCCATATGAAGCTATTTATGAGTCCAAGAACTTATACAACTAAGCTATATTTGTGCATATGTTTATATGGGGTTGTTTTGTGTGAGTTTTTATTTCTGAAATAGAGTTGACATATAAATAATTAGTCCCCTTATGCCTTGCGTATTACTTGTTATATGCTTCTCTTTTGTGTTGTCATTTTTTTGGTTGATGATTTTGTCATTTGGGTATTGATGTTTGGTATGATTTCGACACTTTTATTTATTGCGGGCATGAATATTTGTAAGGCACTTCAAAATATGCATTGGTATTTTTTTGTTATCTTCTTTTCTAATGCTACTTCGATATATATACCAGCCTTTACTTTATTGATGGTTTCATCTCTCATAATTGTATGAACCTAACTAGTTCACATAATTGTTTAGTTGATGATTTTTGTTCTCTTTTGTCAATTGAATATATGCAGGTTTTCTTTGGAGCCTTCATTAATGACTTCAATCAAGCACATCCTGCTGGCTATGCCTTTGGGTTTATTGCTCCAAATGAGCACGTGTTTGCTGTGGGTTATTGGTTGTCAGGTGGAGCCTGTGTAGCTCCTTGCCTTTGGGTTTGTTGCTGTTTTGTTTTGAGCTTGTGTAGCTCCTTGTATTTGTGGGGTTTTGGCTGTTATTTGGAGCTTGTGTATCTCCTTGCCTTTGGGTTTGTTGCTGTTTTTTTTTTTTTGAGCTTGTGTAGCTCCTTGCCTTTGGGGTTATGGTTGTCAGGTGGAGCTTGTGTAGCTCATTGCCTTTGGGTTTGTTGCTGTTTTTTAGCATGCATAGCTCATAACGTTGTGGGGTTTTGGCTGTTATTTGGAGCTTGTGGTTATCAGTGAGCTAGCTGTTGCTACAGTGTTGATCCCTGAAAAATATCATTATGAACCAAACTAGATATTAGGAATTGGAGGGTTTCTATAAAAGTGAGATTCTATTTTTTCATTGGGTGAAACAAACATAGAATGCAAAAAAATGGGATTTCATAAATCTATAAAAATTTTATGGATTAGGTTGGAATCCATAAATAAAATAGGATTCCTAATCCTATTCCTACCCTCTATTGAACCAAACAGGCCCTTAGCACAAAAGCAAAGTAAAATCTAATAAAAAATAAGAAAAATTATCATGAATTGTTAATAAGGAAAATGAATTATTAAAATGTTTAAGCTCAAGAGATAGGAGTTAAACAGATAAAATGTGTGTCATTCATGCATGTTTTTAGCTCAAGAGATAGGAGTTAAACAGATAAAATGAATTATTAAAATGTTTAAGCTCAAGAGATAGGAGTTAAACAGATAAAATGTGTGTCATTCATGCACGTTCACTTTTCAGTTAATAGATAAAATGTTTAAGCTCAAGAGATAGGAGTTAAACAGATAACTAATAAACAGTAGGCTCTATTTGACGTAAATTTCAATGTGTGTCATTCATGCATGTTTTTAGCTTATGCTCATCTGGTGTCAGCTATTAATAAGAAATGTATGACAATGGAAACAATAAGTCTCTTCTAGAAGAAAAAGTTGGCAAGACAGAAACCAGTTGCAGCATGCATCATTAAAAATTCAAAAGAAATAAGAAGTGTGATAGCGAGAGCAAGACATCTTTAAGGAGAAAAGGAAAGAAAGGACACACAGCAGTAAAATATAATATAAAATATAATATAACTTGAAAAGAAATAAGAAGAGTCAAAATAAGAGTTCAGATATGAGATCTGATAGTGTCTGGCAACCTACCCTTTCTTCATCTTCCATCCTGGAAGGTATATCTGAGAAATCATCAAAACAATACTCCTCATATTCATCATCATCTGGTCTATGCGAATAAACATTTGGAAGGTCAGAGTTGAAAATCCTAGAAGAAGATGGACCATCTGTTCCATTTCCCTGCAGTCATAAGTGAAAAAGTGGACATTAATTTTTGAAGTTTTTGTTATTCAATAAAATGCCTAAAGCACATTGGATCAGATACATGATCCTTTGAAGACAGTATCATAATAATGTGTCCAGACGCTCACCTATATGAACGATGCTGACAGGCATCGCTAGTCCCATTACCTCTTTCATTTGATGAAACGAAGACTAGCTAAGAAGATTTTCATAACATATTAATGTTAATTTACTATGCATAGAACCATATAGGAAACTGTTGAAAACAACAATATGTAAGGATATTTACAGGTGTATCTCAATTTTTTCTCACGGCAATGCATTTTTCCCTTAAAAACACATTATTTCATACTCTTGGGTTTTAATATCAAGCTCTCTTCGGCTCCAAGATTTTGAAGGAAAAAAGACATGGCTTGATATAGTTTAGTTACTAGAAGAATGCCAAATACGGCGGAAGGGAAGGGATAAAGTCTAGCTATTTTATCCTCCAGATGAATGAAATTTCATGGCCTGAACGTAGTCGAACAAAAACATGACCTGATTGGAGCCAAAGCAGGCCATTACAGTAAACTTAACAAAACCTTACCATTCATATTTTAATTGTCAACATATCACAACCTCACTGCCCGTGACACGAGAATAATCTTACAGCAAGACGATATTGTTATATGACTATCTAATTATATTTCCTTATGTACTGAAAACAATCATGCAGCACCTTTATATGTTTAGATATTTACATCGAAGCAACTTAAGTGGTAGCATTATATTTAAAACAATATCATAAGAAAGTCCAATAATATGAGATGCAAGTAGCTAATTGTTCTTCTCCTTTTTTTTTCTTTTTTTTTTTTTTTTGTGGTGGTATTCATAAACTGAAAAGATTCAACCTGCAAAGTGATGATTGTCTTTAAGATTTGAAACAGACATCCAGAAAAACATATAAAGTGATACGACTAGCAAATATTACCTCAGTGCCATCTTGTTTCTCTAGGGAGGAAACATCAGAAGGAACCTGCGTATCAATTGGAAAATACACCCGATAATTTGCCTCTCGCTGTATGCGTAAATAATCTGAATACAAACTACAGTGTGAACAGTAATTCTTGTGAGTAATACCAGGCTCCATATAGCCTGTAACGGACAATTTGTAGTTATTATGCTTTACCAAACAAACTTTTATTTTGTGGAGGAGAGTTTATTTATTTATATAGTTATCTATTTATATTTTTATTTCTTTGTTTGGGTGA